TATGGCCTGGATTTTGACTTGTGTTTTCACTAGTGTCATTGAAGCAATCCAATGACATAAGAAAACACAATTCTGTTAAAAGTAATTTTGAAAATAATAATAACTTCAAATCAAGCTGCTTTTCTGTCATAAACCTGAAAAAATACTGTGAGGAATGCACTAACATTTGGGGAAAAAAAAAATCCTTGTCTATGTCTTTGATTCCTCAAGCCTGATGTTACTACGACATTTTGGTAATATCGTGCTCATAAAAGTTATGCTCTTCCTCAGTGCAGCACTTTCTCTCACAACATAGTCTCAAAGCTTTATGATGCTACATGCAGAATGGAAAACACTGGAGGAAAGCAAGAGATACCATTTGATGTTTGTTCTCAGGGGAGAACAGAATTAGAAAGTCTGGTTTAATTATAGAAAAAAATGTGCCAGACAGAGAGGTGGTTGAGATGGAATAGTACACTGGACATAAGCATTGATTAACTTAAGAAAGAAGGAAAGAATGGAGAAAATTTGCTAGACAATGTCTCCAGGAATCATCCTGACAGATGTGTATATACATACATATATATATATATATATATATAGTGGTTTGTCTTTTTAAATATAGTGATCTAAATTTATTGTTAGTGTCATGGTGAAAAAATCAGCGTACCAGCAAGGTCTCATTTAAGCCAATACACCTCCTGTGCTGCTGTTTCTGCAAATATAAGATGGCAGACAGTTGCCAGTCAAGGGCAGAAGCATTCTGTACATCCTTCTCCCTTTTTGAACGTTTTTCATATAAAGATTTACAAGAATTCAAGAAGGATAAAACAAAGCTTTTGTCCTGTTGACAGAGTCCTTGTCAAGATGGATAAAACCGCCGCCAAGCACCGTAACTGGGATCTGAAATACACGCTTTTCATGATTTGTGATTGAAAGGAGGAGGTCAGCAAATTTTGGCATGTTCTGTCGCAGTGGGTAACATTTACTCCTTTTCAAATATACAAAGGAGGTAGAGAAGGAATTCAGCAGCAACTAACTACACCACATCAATCCCCAAAGTGAGTGAAAAATGCAAATGCCATTAGAGATACATGACACATCTGAGGTACTAATTGGACGCAAGGTGCACCTTACAACTTGTGTCAGCTGAAGATTTTCTGACTGGAAACCCCATTCAACAAAATAACAAAGTTAATCTCATATTCTAAATCACAAACTGAACAGATTAACTGCTGTACATACTGTCCCTGCTGAGACAAGCATAGAAATTCAAACAGGGAGATTCATCTAAGCAACACAGATCATGTCTAGAGTGGAGTTACTTATCCAGCCTTTTTAAAAAATCAGTAAAGAGAAATAGGTTGTTCAAGGTTCAATCTGTCTTATCTTAAATTGGATGTCTAGAACCAGTGAACCGAATCATGCTCAAAAATATGCCTATTTTTCTCCGTTGATTATAACAGGAGGTTACAGTAACTGCCTTAGACATAGATGTCTAAGGTTACATTATATGAATTCTACCATCTAGTTTACCAAGACCTTGGAATTATATATTTTTCATAATTCACAAATACACAATGAAAGAGTCCTCAGCAAGGACTCTTTTAGCTGAGGTTGGCTGTTCATTTTTCTTGGAGTATTTCTATGATGGCAATGACTCTACACGTGAAGATATGAAAAAGACAGCATTGGAGCCAACTTTTTTTTCATCCTTCTGTCTATAGAAAAGAAAACAAAGTCTCATCCACGGAGTCATAGAAGTTAGGCACCTATATTTTCTGCGCACTTGGATGCCTTATAATTTGTTATTCCATCAGTAAGCAAGGCTGACCTTTAGGGCTACGTAAAGGTCTTTTAAAAGACAGGAGAGAGATGTCACAGCAGATCTGATATAAACCATACAGCTTTGATATTCTGCAGTGCTTCTGGAAGGGACATTTGTTGTTTCTGCAACCCAGAAAGGTTGGTACCCACTAGGAAGAATTACTTCTCAATTTTAATACTTAGCAAAGCTTTTGGTCAGCACTTATGTAGTGCTATTTCTTTCTTTTCATGTTATGGAAGTGCTATCTTGGAAAGCAGTTACATTACACAGGAACATATGGAAGCTGGAAGTTACATGTTTTTCTAACTCCTACAGTGAGATTATATTAATCTAAGAATAAGACTGAATCTCTTGAAAATAAGACTGCTGAAAAAAAAATTTTGTGTCCCTAAAGCATTAAGCAAGCGTTAACATATCACACCAAAGAAGGAAATATGAGGGTTATCAAAGAATAAGATGAAGTCTTTGACTTCAACTCTACACACTACAGACAGAGACGAAGCTTTTCCTGTCCAAGGCCTTATTTTCTGTCTTTCTGTGGAGCACCTATCAAAGACTGTAGCCTATATCCTGTCACCACAAAACACTAGCCAATCATGATGAGAAGCACAGAAACTTTTCTGTAAAAAGTCATCTTTATACACAAAAAATAACTGTTTTATCTGAACAAAAATTATTCCACTGTTAGCAGAAACAATCCATATCTACAAAAACTGAATTGAAAAATGATAATGGGAAGAACTAGTTCTTTGATATCACAGTTCATGCCACAAAGGCAAGAAATTTAATAAATTAATCTTAATACATCTGTAAAAGGTGTTCAAGACTCATATTTTAGTGACTTGTATCTCAGTAGAATCTTTCTCACTTAAAATTTCTCTTGGAAATTTCCAAGCTTCTTAGCAATCTGTTAAAGTAACAGGGAACAATGATGCTCAAACCCTGGCAGGGACAGACACACCAGAAAATCTTCTGCCGTTCTTCTCTCTGCATGCCCTTTCACCCCACAGATTTTTTTTTTTTTGATTTCAGAATTATGCATGCAATTTCATTTGAAAAGACACATAGCCAGAAAAGACTTACCAATTTTTGGAATTAAATTATTTTGAAGATAGAGAATTTTTAAATC